ATTATAACTTAATATATCTTTATTTAAAATTAATATAATAAAAAGATTTTACAAATTCAATCTAAAGCTTTGTGCATAAATGAAGAATAATTTTTAAAGTGATATATCAGTTTCTTGACTTGCGGAAATTTTAAGACTTTATATCGATTTATTGGAAGGAGTGTAGACACATGAAATTGTTCAAATGTGGCTAATTAGATAATATTACTGTATATTCTTTAATTTTAGCAGAAAACAAAAATTGTTAAGATTTTTTTTATAATAATATTTTTAGACAAGCAAGAACCGTATAATGAAGTTATAATGCAAAGAGTCTTATTTATCTTTAAAAAAGTTTATTCTTTATATATACAGTATAAAGTAATAAGTTACAGTTTTCAATAAGCGTTCTGATTGGACAATATATATATATATCTATATACTATGCGTTTCTTGTGAAATTTTCTAATCCTAGCGCGATTTTTAATTTAGAAAGCAAACCAGGTCTGACCTCTTTGTCTATCACGTTACAATTAATCTTTGAGGGTTGTGAGTGCACTACCATCAGATCTAAACACTTAAATTAACGGTAGCATTAAATTTATATAATAAACCTTTTATATATTAAATCTTGCAGTTAATTCTCGAAATAGCAGGCATGGGTGTTTCGCGTTCCCTAAAAATGTTTCAAAATAATGCCCGAAATAACGCGAGCCTCGTAATTAGAGGTGCAGGTACAACTCCACAACTTGACGTAACTATAATAAGTTACGGCAAAAAAATGCTGCAACTCATTATAATTACAACAAGTTACGTAGTTACACCCAGTGCAAAAAATCGTCCTTATTTTCAGGCGCAGGTGTTCGAAATGATGCCGTTATTTTTGCGATCACCTTAAAAGTTACATAACTATAAATTATACCCAACTGCCCAGGATATAACTATTACTTATTTTCTCAGAACAAAACCTATGTTCAAATTAGAAGCTTATGCTTTTTTCGATTCACTGAAAAAGCAAAATTATATCAAAAAATCTCATTTAGAGTGTAAACTTTGAATTAGTTTATCTCAAAAGAATCGAATTTAAGTAGTCGATATTAATCAACTAAAGTCAACTAATTTGCTAGTCATTAGAACTATAAGATAATATTTGAAACAGGCCTCTTAATTATATCAAGTCGATTAGTTGTGTTTATAAATATACTGTATATCGACTAAGAAGTCACTAAGCGATTATTAATAGATATCAATTCTTTCGATTATGACATCATTAATCTTTGCAAAATAAAATAATAATCCTGTAATCGTATTGATTATTATTATTTATTCAAATTATTTGTGCTCACAAAAACTACATTATACTAAGAATTTTTTTCGTCTTATATCGTCATTTTTAATTTATTCTTGCCCATTCCAGGCGTTTATCAAAACTTTTTTTTCTTTAGATAAGTTTCAGATTTCTTATGCGTTTGGTAACATTTGAATATATTATTTCGTTTGACATTGTACAATTAACAATCAAATTATTGAAGCTGCATTTTTTAAATTTAAACTCAATGACGTTACTTTAGAGATACTAGGTCGTGATAATGTTAGCCATACGCGATCATAGAAGTGAAAATTGGGTGATACTGAAGTAGTTTATTCAAATATTGTATCAAAATACAGAATACAGATTTTTATATTAACTCATCAAGCAAATGTTTGTTCATAAGAAGCTTGAGTTATTACACTAATCCAATCATTGAATTCAACTATTGAATTCAACTTTCACTTGATTTATTATCATCTATACCAGAAAGTGTAGATTCTGATGTTATTTCCTGAGATAATTTGTTCTTTCAGATCAAATAAAAAGTTTTTAATTTGAGAACGAATTTTATTAGAATTTCGAAGGATGATCAAAATATATCGAAGGGAATAATGAATTACAAACCAACTCTCGACGTGTAGCCAATTCTCTACTTTGTGCTACTCTTCGATTGAACAATATACCTACCTCTACAAAACCAAAAACTAATAATAATAATTAGATATAAGTATTTTGTTCAATATGCGCGCAGGTCTTTTTGAACATGTAAAACTAAAGCCCACTTGTGAGACCACATAACGTGAGAACAGTAGTTTTGTGAGCGATATTTGCTGCTTTGGTTCTTAAGGACATTCTTGGAAGAGAAAAAAATTGATTCACCTGATCTTGAAACTTGATTGGGGGACGCCTAAAACGGAGAATTGTTACACGGTTATCATTAGCTGATTGGGGAAGTTCCTGAAATTTCTGATGTAGAAAGTTAACAAATCTAAAATATGGGCATCAAATTTCTAGGTAAATTCCCAAATTTCCAAAATAAAAATCACTAATAGATTAAGCCGGACAATGAGAACGTTAAATTAGGGAGCGAAGCAAGGATGCGTAGAAACGTGACTGATCTATTTTCACTTGTTCGACGAAGCTGATATTGGTGATGGTTACACGAGATGAGTTTGAGAAGTGCGTGATAAGAAGCCTGTATTCAAGTATAGGACGAAACCGGTACTTTGCACGAGAATATAAGTGGATTACCATATCGTTATTACTATAGAAAAAAAGGTTGTCTTTTTTTTTTGAAAATTATAGGTATGTTAAGGAAGTTTATTATATGTAGTATATTATGTCCGATGTGTTGAAATATGTTAATATCATATATGGAGATGCTAAATTCGAAGAGACCATGTAGGTTGTATTTGATGATTAGCAATGACTGGTTCGAAGAGATCACGTAGGTTTGGTCGGCCATTTAAATGCTTTTGGATTTAAATTTAGTGTGTTAGTTTGATCAGATAGATCAATCAGATTCTTTGTTACGAGAGGTGCTTGAGAGCGTCCTTAGTAAGATAACAAGACTAGTTAAAATA